AGGAGAAAAGAAAATTACTTCATCTATCACAAGAATCAAACTGTAGTGAGCATTTTTGGCCAAGCTAATTATGATTCTCAACCAAAAGGTCGCACATCCGTTTTGGTGATAAGCGTAACCAGATGACTGTCCTAACAAATTCCAAAAAGTCGTGACTGAATTCAACAAGAGAACTCCACAAATTACAAGTAAATAATGTCATCAGTCGATCAATCCACATGATACCTAGGATCCGCATTGCTGCAGGAGCTAACCCCCATACCCTTCACAACTAAAATTGAACTCTCAAAAATGCCACAGTCAGTATTCCTCCTCATCTAACCAGGTCACACAACCAACTTAAGCCAAGAAGCAAGAATAATACGAGCCATACCAGCAGAATTAACAGAATTGAGCAATTTAGTTGATCCAGTGGATTACCATCTTGACACTTGACTATTAACCCTATTACTCTAAGATATACCAAAGGAAGCATGCCCTCAAATAGTTAGGAAAAAGTCAGTAACTAAAAGTTATGTGTGAAAAAAACCCTCTTTAACATGCCTTGCTGATTACCACTCACTATATAGCAGGTCACGTACCATATAGTTTTGAAATTGGAATGCACACAGCATAACTTCCAGAATTTAGGGACAAAAGTGATGTTCGCACTGAATGCCAAACGATAATTCTTCAGGCAAGTTCGCATGTATAAAAGCGCATTTTGAAAATTAAAAACGACCACCTTGTATACAGCTGGATGCATCAGCTCAAGTTGGAAAAACTTTGACTCAAGATCAGGAAGCTGACTTCCATGTTCATATTGGGGCAAATGCCTGAACAATTCAACTCTGTTTCGAGCCTCTGTTTGTTTTACAACTGCCTTCCTTTTAGCCTTCTCCACTCGGCTTTCATCATCGTATTGCATGCGCGGATGCGGTACATCTTTCTTTCTTTCCTTTTCTGGAGGCCGTTCAGCCCCAGGACCCTTCTTCTCAGAAGGTGCAACTGAAGCACTATCACTCTTCTTTTGAGAAGGCTTTACAGCTTTATTAGGCTTTGTGATTTCGGACAATACAGCCCCAGGAGCAGCTCTAGCAGCCTTACTTCCTTCCCCTAGACAAACAGAGATCAAAATGTTCAAGACATGCGCACATGCATGCAGGTACTAATGGTTCTACTGAAGTGCAGCACATAAACATGAAACCAAACGCCTAGTTGATGATGTGACATATATCATAAATTCAAAGTAAGAAAACACCATCAACAAGTATCTGTGATTCCAAGACGAAGGCCAATATTAATGATCGGGTATACCTTTGGCAGATAAAGATTACAGCGAAGTACTAAAAAGCCAAAACCTAAAGTAGATTAAGAACCCGACGGAGGAACTGCAAAATCAAACAGCTCAAGGAGATCTTTCACCAAGTGCAGGATTTATCAGACCAAGCAACAAGAGAAAAACATGCACCTTTAGCAGCAGCTTTGGCAGCTCGCTGAGCCTCCTGTAGAGCACGCCTTTCAGCCTTCGTCATTTTCTCCTTTTGGGGCTTTGAATTAGCAGGACGCTCATTCTGCACTTCCACCGAGGCTCCCCCGACTTTCTCTGCAATCAATTTTTTCCCCTTTGATATTTGTTCAAGCGTTTTTTGGAAGTACTTTCCAGGAAGCAGCAAAAATTCATTTGAACGTAATCTCAACGTTCATGGGAAAACGATCCTTTAAATAAAAGTACCAAGAAAATGTCTGCTATGACAAAGGCTACTCAAGGATGAATACTGCAGCATGCCAATATCATTACATTCTTTAAGCCACTCTTCTTTCATATATAGAATTTGCCAAATGCACCTTAGATAAACCTTGATAAGGTCAAAATCCCCAAGACCGGTCGTCAAGAATGATTATCGCTAAATCCTCCCAAATGACCACTTAATTATTCAAATTCCTTAAAGAGGTCCACCTGGCCATCACTCCCTAAACAAGACATTCAGCAATTGCCCATCATTTCCCACTCTACAATCGAAACCAAGCAAGTAAGACCTATACTCGCTCATCCAAAACCAAGCATAATCCTAACTTTTATCCACACAGATTTCCCACCGCTCAGCAATCTTACCCAACCCCCAAAGAATTCAACCTCTTAAGCCGAAAAGAAAAAGGAAAAGCTTGCCACATTCCATCTTTTACATTCACGACCTCAATTCGAAGCGCCCAATTAAATCTACACCCAAACAGCACAAATTCACGACGAGCAACTCACATACCGGTAATCCCAGAAGGCATCGTGACGACGGACACCGTGGTCAGCCCGCTCGCCGGCACGCTGGTCGCCATCACCCTCCCCCTCCCGACCCGGCCTGGCGACATGGCCACGTCGTCGCCGAGCTCGCCGTCGGTCCCCGCCCCCGCCGCGGCGGGCTTCCCCGAGTACGAGGAGGCGGCGGCGGCGGCGGAGGAGGGTGAGAAGTCCGAGCCGGGGGTGTAGCTGGAGGGGGCGGTGGGGAAGGGGACGGGGACGGGGCGGGAGAGGAGGGCGAGGTTGTCGGAGTGGTGGCGGGGCGGGGGGATCATGACCGGGGAGAGGGAGTTGCCGGAGGGGGAGACGGCGGAGACGGAGGAGGCGGCCGCGGTGGGGGCGGGGGCGGGGGGCGGCGGCGGCGGGGAGGAAGCGGCGGAGGAGGAGATCGGGTGGTCGGGGGGTCCGGACTGGGAGCGGTCGGGGGGAGGGGCGAAGAACCCGACCTGGCGGACCTTCGGGTCGCTGACGGAGCGAGGGTTTCGTCGAGGGTCCATGAAAGTTAGAGAGAGACAGAGACAGAGATGAAGATAGCGACGGTCAGGCAAGAAGAGGAACAGGAAGAGAGAGAATAAAGCACAAAAGGAAGTGAGTGTGAACAGTGAGGAGCGAAGAGAGAGAAAGAGAGGAGCAGCCCAGGAGCAGGGAAGATGAAGCCCAAGATGCTCATAGGACGCCCCCCTCCAATTTGATGCCATGCTGTGGGAATAATCACAAAATTGATGGTTATCAACTTATCAGCCATTCCCCCTTTTTTGAGCTCCCTGCTAATCCTTTCTCGGACCCGGTAAAACTCGAGCCATCATCGATCGAGACGGTCGAACCGACCGAGCCGATCCGACTCGATCGGGCTTATCGAGAGAGCCCATGTCCATTGCGCGCTCTCCCGTCGCCCCTGTAGAGGCGATGATCGCCCGGCGGCCTCGGGGTAAAACCACCCCGGAGCCGATGAGGAGGGCGCTCGCCATACAGAACTCGAGCTCACGTGATCCGACTTAGACTAGAGATGGCTTGGGTCATGTTCATCCGATCTGGTGAGTGTCCATTCTCATGGACGCCGAAGTATTGCGCGAGAGACGTGATTGTGTGTCTAAGACATTCCGAATCTACTAAGGACGAGATTGATTAAGAGCAAAATCGACACGCATTTAGTAAAATCCAGAATACCAAAAAATTTGGGTACGCGATGATGCATTTCGAGATCTCTAGCCTCTACGAGGGCATTTTGGAGTTTTAAATTTGGGGGGGGAGGTTCGACAGTCACAAAAAAAAAAAAAAATAAACATATGCAAAGTACCACGCCAGGTGTACTTGTGTCCGAAACAAAAGCGCATCTGCTGCTGTCGGGAGGGAGCTCATCCAACGTGTGGGAGAGGCTTGATCCAATCAAATTTCCCACCACCTTCCCCCACATATAAAAACAGGGCCCTTCTTGTACCACAGGTTCCGCGTTTCACTGCAGTCATCGCATTGCCGGACGTGGTATCACGATAGATGAAGCTAAACTATCCCCGTGACGAATAACGCTCTGGCTCGCCAGCAAAAAATTATCGAAAAAGCTTTAAATTTATCGAACGGATGATAATTCGATCCCGAATCATTTCAATTTGATAAATTTAGTCCTAAGCATTTTTTACAATTTGCTATTATAGTACTTCTGGCTAATTTTTTTGCCGGAAATCGCCAAGACGATATTTTTAAGAGTTTTTGAATCTCTTATATATATTTATCTTTCCTTTTTTATTTTCTTTTTCTTTTTTTTTTCCCGTTGTGGCTGCACGAGGGTCGCCGAGGACTCGGAGATAGCTAACGAGAGTCGCCCGCCACAATGAAAAGAAAAGGAAACAAAAAAATGAGAAAAAATTGCAAAATATGGTCACGTCAACCCCGTGCATGTCAAATAGGATGGTCGGCATCCACGTTAGAGATTTCTGGCCAAATTTTGGTCGAAATGACTACATTGACAAATTGTCAAAAGGGTTTATGACTAAATTGATCAAATCAAAAGGTTTAGAACTGAATTAATATCTGTACAATAGATTTATGACTTCTTTTGGTAATTGGCACTAGCAAAAAGCACTCTTTTTATTTTTTCTTTTCATAGGAATAACCACTTTTTACGTTAGAAAATGCACTTATTCGTCGTCGAGATAAACTATTCATAAGTAGTCATTCGTCGCAATTTAATTTCATATAACTAATTGTGCTTCTCATGTAATTAATCAAATCACTAAAGTTAGACTTCACGGCTCATTTTTCATCCGGCCCCACAATCCAATCAATCCAATCTTAAAAAAAGAGAAAAGGGCTCCATATTCTTTAAAATGGAATCCAATATGATTCTCATTATTTCTTCAAGAGTAATTAATTCAGTTTATAAAATGCTTTTAGCCCTAAATTTTTTCTTCTTTCTTGAAATTGGAGATGGGTCTGCCCTTGGTTTAGAAACATTCTATTCGGCCAAGTCCAATGTACGCATCACAAGCACATAGAGACACCCCGATCAAGGTATGGTCCGCCCCAATCGATTTGCCAAACAGGAACGACGTTCTCTTCGTCTTTGTCGTCATCCCATGCATCTCCTTCTTCTTCCTGGGAGCGGAGAGATTCACAAGCGGAAACCCTCTGTATATAAGCTTGAACCTTCGATTAGCATTTTGAGCTCTTCATCAAGAGAAATTGGGTGGCTAATCAACAGTATTAAGAGTCGATCAGTGACACCATCATGGTTTCTGCTTCTCTATCAACTCCCCAGTTGCCAACTCTTCAATCTGTTCCCAGGGCAAGGGGCAGTGCTTATCAATTAGGAAGCCTGTCAGCCATTGTATGAGCCAGTTCCATTGCCGTCTTTGTTAGTTCTCTCGTTGAGTCAAAGATTGGTAATGAATTGCCATTTCATCCCCCTATGCAGAGCGGAAAGATTAGATTCGTGCCGAAGATCGCGATCGTGGAGGCAGGAAGAGGGTTCGCCCCGATTCTGAGCCGCTCCAGGAATCAAATATCGTGCTCCGTCGTAATTTCCTTCCTTCAGTTGCTCGTGTGAAGTGATTCGTTGACTTAGCGAGCAACAAATTATTTATTTCCAGTTCACTTGTTTTGACATTCTTGTGTATGTTTAGCCTGAGCCGGAGACTCTGAAAACGGTCCAAGGCATCATAGCCAAGCAGCTCTCTGTCGATGAAAGCACTGTTGCTCCAAGGACCAAGTTCGTCAATTTGGACGCCGATTCTCTCGACACGGTACGCATCGTCTTGTAATCACTTGTATGGATCATTTCTGCATAGGTTCCAACCATGCTTGGCAACGACGTTGTACATATATCAAAACTACCGATGCAATCGACTATTCCACGACTCTTTTCGTGATATTTGCAATTCAGCGGGTACATAGAAACAGGTGGAGATCATTATGGCTTTGGAAGAGACGTTCGGAGTTTCAATAGGCGGAAGAGAAAATATTAGGTGGTCCCAGACCGCCAAGTCAGCGTGGTCCCGGACCACTCATGAAGCACCACGTGGCTCCACGTGGATCTGTGGGGCCGACTCGCCGGCCCTCGATTTTCTCCACAAAAAAGTAATTTCCATCCTCTCACCTAGCCTGCACATTAGCCGATGCTCTGCTTTTTTCTCATATTCTCTCTCCTAAGTCCTATCCGTCTTTTCGCCAAGAAAATATTAGGTGGTCCCGGACCACTCATGAAGCCCCACGTGGCTCCATGTGGATCTGTGGGACCGGCTCACTAGCCCTCGATTTTCTCCACAAAAAAGTAATTTCCATCCTCTCACCTAGCCTGCACACTAGCCGATGCTATGCTTTTTTCTCATATTCTCTCTCCTAAGTCCTATTCGTCCTTTCGTTGAGAAAATATTAAATGATCCCGGACCGCCAAGTCAGCGTGATCCCAAACCACTCATGAAGCGCCACGTGGCTCCACGTGGATCTGTGGGACCAGCTCACCAGCCCTCGATTTCCTCCACAAAAAAAGTAATTTTCATCCTCTTATCTAGCGTTCACACTAGCCGATGCTCTACTTTTTTCTCATATTCTCTCTCCTATGTCTTATCCGTCCTTTTCGTTTCCTCGTCCGCTAAGGAGGAGAAGAAAAGCAAACAGGTGTCTGCTAGCCCTCGATTTTCTCCACAAAAAGAATTTCCATCCTCTCACCTAGCCTGCACACAGCCGATTTTGCTTTTTCTCATATTCTTTTCCTAAGTCCTAACTGTCCTTTCGTCGAGAAAATATTAGGTGATCCCGGACCGCCAAGTCAGCGTGGTCCCAGACCACTCATGAAGTGCCACGTGGATCTGTGGGGCCGACTCACCGGCCCTCGATTTTCTCCACAAAAAAGTAATTTCCATCCTCTCACCTAGCCTGCACATTAGCCGATGCTCTGCTTTTTTCTCATATTCTCTCCTAAGTCCTATCCGTCCTTTCATTAAGAAAATATTAGGTGGTCCTAAACCGCCAAGTCAGCATAGTCTCAAACCACTCACGAAGCACCACGTGGCTCCACATGGATATGTGGGGCCGGCTCACCGGCCCTCGATTTTCTCCACAAAAAAGTAATTTTCATCTTCTTATCTGGCCTGCACACCGGCCCATGCTCTGCTTTTTTCTCATATTCTCTCTCCTAAGTCCTATCCGTCCTTTCGTTTCCTCATCCGAAGGAGGAGAAGAAAAGCAAACAGGTGTCTCCCCCTCTCTCTGCCCTGCACACAAATTTTGAATTTATCGCGCTGAGATTTCGCTGGTCCGCCGTTTCTTGCTGCTTCGGCGTTCATCAAGCGGCCGCCCCTCGCCGACGAAGCACATTAAGGCCACCCCCTGCTCCGACGAAGCAAAGGTCTCCCTCGTCTTCGCTCTCAACTCCGGCGTTCGTCAAGCTCTCGTTCCTCCGCCCTCGCCGACGAAGCACATTAAGGCCACCCCCTGCTCCGACGAAGCAAAGGTCTCCCTCGTCTTCGCTCTCATCTCCGGCGTTCGTCAAGCGGTCGTTCCTCCGCCCTCGCCGACGATGCACATTAAGGCCACCCTTGCTCCGACGAAGCAAAGGTCTCCCTCTCTCGTGATCCGACACTCGCTCGCTGCTCCGGCGTTCGTCAAGCGGCTGTTCCCCCACCGTCGCCGACGAAGCACGTTAAGGCCACCCCTGCTCCGATGAAGCTCCAGTGTATTCAGTCTGCCCACATTACAAGGAAAATATTCAGGTTTGCCGCTTTCTACTTCTTGGCTTATACTCTTATCATTTCAAGCAGACTGTATTACCAGTTTTTCCGAATTAGATGTGCAGCTGGTAAATTTATTTTGATAGCAGTTTCCCAGAGTCGACTATATAACTCACTTTTTCATTATTGCAGTTTATTTTCTCCACTGCCATTGATGGTAAGATAAAAGCTTGGCTGTTTGATTGCCTGGGATCTAGAGTGGACTATGATCCTCCCGGTCGATGGTGCACCATGGTGGCTTATAGTGCGGATGGAACAAGGTAGCATGTTGCCTCAGAAACGCTTGTTGGCTATCTGTTTCTTCATGAAAGACAGGAACACATTTTTGGAACACTTTTGGTTCACGGGGAATTGCCATGCCAGTACATTGTTTCTCTCTGTCTCTGAAACTGGATGAAGCCCATAGAATAAGTTTTCTCAACCTAGTCCTTGGATTTCGTTTCTATGTTAATCCCTCAGCTGTTCGATGGGGGATCTTATTGCTTGCTTTTGGTCTCTTACAGCCAAGCTCGACCTAGAAGTAGCTACTGTTCAAACACTCAGTATTCTATTGTATTGGTCTTCAATTGAGGCAATACGCTGACACTAGAAGCATTGGTATATCTGACTTGCAAGCACTTGCATTCACAGTGATCATGTTGCTTTTTTCGAATAAAGTAGTAACTTTTTTTTGTTGCATGTTAGAAGTGATAGATGAACATGCATTAGTCATTGTTGTTTTTTTAAAGAACAGAAGGAGAATTGACAGCAAAATCTGTATTTTGCAGCAAGACAGAATGTATTGGAAGGGAACTTCTATATCTATTCAGAAAACTGAAATTGCTTAAATACAGACTAAAGCTTTTCCACTAACTACACGTTGCCCACTAACTACACTTTGCCCACTTACTAACAACTTGCTTGGTCCACAAAACCAGCAACAAACTAACAGAGCAGTTAAAGAAAACATGCAGCTAAACACTCCTACAAAATAGGACTGACCAAGTAAAACCACAACTAATTAACTCCTAGATAATACGACATCAGCAAACTGACTAAATAGAAAATAGATAGTGCAGCCTTGATACAACAGCACTCTCCTCCTGGATCAAGTGCTGCACACTCCTAGCTTTGCCCTGAGAAGTTCAAATCGACCAACATGAAATGACTTAGTGAATATATCCGCAATTTGGTTTTTCGAACTACGTACACCAGCCTTCACCTCTCCAGCTTTCGCACTTCTCTCAAGAAGTAATACTTGACCTTAAAATGCTTTGTTCTTCCATGAAATACTGGATTCTGTGAAATGGCCATAGTAGCTTGATTATCCACAAATACTGCTATGCCTTCTTCTTGCTCCAAATGCGATCATCCATCGCCTTCTTTATCCATAATGCTTGATTCACAATGCAGTAGAGCCGCAATGAACTCACTTCGCAGCTTGATTGAGCCACTATTTCCTCGCTTCTTTGAGCACCAGGAAAAACATGCCGACCCAAATGTAAAGCAATACCCTGAAGTACTTCTTATATCATCCACAAATCCTGCCCAGTCACTATCAGAATACCCTTGCAACTTAAACTCCTGAATTCTGCAGAACTTAATTCCATATGAAAGAGTACCTTTCAAGTACCTCAACACCCTCTTTGCAGCTACCATATGCAACTCACTTGCACAATTAAGGAATCTAGACAAGACACTTACAGTAAACATGATGTCTGGCCTAGTTGCAGTGAGATACATAAGACAGCCAATCAAACTTCTATAAACTCTTTCATCTGCAAATTCTGATCCATCCTTCTTTTGAAGCTTTTCCTTCTGACCCATTGGAGTACTTACACTCTTGCACTCCTCCATATTGAATCTCTTCAGGATCTCCTTCATGTACTTCTTCTGACAGATAAAAACTTCATTTTGAGTCTGCATAACCTCCATCCCCAGAAAATACGACATCTCACCAAGATCAGTCATTTCAAACATCTTCATCATCTCTTGCTTAAATGCAGTAATCTGAGCACTATTACTCCCTGTCACCAGCATATCATCCACATAAAGAGACACCACCACTAAGTCAGATACTAACTTCTTGACATATAGAGTGGATTCACTGAGGCTTTTCTTGAAACCCAGGCCTAGTAAGTGCTCATCCATTTTATCGTACCATGCTCTGGGAGCTTGCCTCAAGCCATAGAGAGCCTTTCTTAGCAAATAAACTTTCTCCTCCCCGGCCTGGTGTGACAAAGCCTTCGTCGCTCAACATAAATCTCCTCCTGCAACACTCCATTCAAAAATGCAGATTTCACATCTAACTGATACACCTTCCATCCTTGTTGAGCTGCCAAAGCAAGAGTCATTCTAATTGTATCCAGTCTTGCCACAGGAGCAAAGGTTTCTGAGAAATCAACTCCCCAAACCTGTGCATATCCCTTCACCACCAACCTGGCCTTATGCTTATTCACTGAGCCATTAGGATTGAGTTTGGTCATGAAAACCCATTTTACTCCAATTACCTTTCTGTCTTCAGGCCTCTCCACTAGCTCCCATGTCTGGTTCTTTTCTATCATAGCCAACTCTTCCTTCATTGCATTCATCCACCTCTGATCACTTTTAGCTTCCTTATAACCTGCAGGTTCCAAAACAGCCACACTACACCTCTGATATATATCAGTCAGAGATTTGGTACCTCTAACTGGAACATCATCCACCAGCTCGTCAGGTTCCAGTGAGACCTCCTTGTGCTTGCCTTGTGGCTCATCTGTCCAATCCCATTGCTCATCTTCTAGGAACCGAACATCCCCGCTAGTGATCACCTTCCCCGTTCCGTGGTTGATAGATCCTATAGGCTTTTGACACTAAACCGTAGCCAACAAAGATCTCGTGTTCACTTTCTCTCCCAACTTGTCTCTCTTGACCTGCGGAATATGAGAAAAACATAGACAGCCAAACACCTTCAAATTTCTTAGAATTGGCTTAACACCAAACCAAGCTTCAAAGGGTGTCTTCTTCTCCAATACCCTTGTAGGCAGTCTATTCAGCAGAAAAACTGCTGTGTTTGCTGCTTCTGCCCAAAATTCTTTTGGTAGATTCCTGTCATGTAGCAGACACCTAGTCATCTCCATAATGGTTCTATTCTTCTTCTCACTAACTCCATTTTGCTGTGGAGAGCAAGGAGCAGTAAGCTGATGCTCAATTCCAGCCTCTTCACAGAAAGAGTTGAACGTCTGTGAAGTGTATTCTGTTCCATTATCAGATCTGATGACCTGAATCTTGCAGCCACTTTGATTCTCAACCCATCTCTTAAACTTCAAAAATACCTCAAAGCAACTCCTCGACTTTTGCTTCATGAAGTAAATCCAAGCACATTCTAGTATAATCATCAATGAAAATAATGAAATACCTGCTTGCCATTTAGTGAAGGAGTCACTTGTGGACCACAGAGATCTCGTATGAATCATTGCAGCCTTTCTCGTAGCTCTCCAAGTGGATTCCTTGAAGGGAAGTCTTGTCTGCTTGCCCAGCAAACAAGCCTTGCACCTTGTGATTTGCTCCTCCAGGCTTGGTAACCCAGTTGCCATTTCATTCCTCTGCATGAACAGCAAGCCTTTGTGATGAAAGTGGCCCAACCTCTTGTGCCATATCTCTGAATCACTGGCCTGACACTTGAATGCCACCTGCTCCTTCTCGAGAGGATTCAGAGAAAAACTCTTCTGTCGCATCTTTATCTTGAATAACTCCTGACCACTGGAGTCAAAGATCAAACACTTCCCCTCTTCAAATATCACCTTAAATCCCTTTTCTACCAACTGCCCCACACTCAGCAAATTCTGATCAATTTCAGGCACATACATCACATCAGAAACCAGCTTAGTTCCAGCACAACTCTCTATTGCTATAGTCCCTTTACCTTTCACTTTTAAGTACTCCCCATTCCCAATCCTCACTCTTGACTTCAATGACTTGTCAAGGTCTATAAATAGCTTTTCATCACTTGTCATGTGGTTTGTGCAACCACTATCAACAAGCCAACTGTCACATGGAATACTAGAGGAGAAACAAGAGGCAACAAACAGTTGATCTACCTCTTGCTGGACTGCAGCATGTGCCTCACCTTGTTGTTGATCTCCCTTCTCTTTGCAGAACTTCTCAATGTGTCCAAGCTTATGACATTTTCTGCACCTTACATCTGGCCTCTTCCAACACCTAAAGTGTGGATGATTCTGTTTTCCACAGTGCTGACATGAGGAATACCTTCTCCAATTGTTCTTGGAGTTGCCCGCACTATTCTCTCCTGTAGCAGCTTCTGAACCATTACTGCCATTCACTTTCTTCCCTTTCCACTTCTTGCCTTTTCCTCCTACATTTTGCTGTTCTTTGGCCTGCAAAGCTCCTTCTGTACTTCCTTCCAGCCTCATTAACCTCCTCTGCTCTTGTGCTTGCAGAGCACTTAGCAATTCTGCCAACTTGATCTGAGACAAATCCTTGGTATTCTCCAAAGAGGCAATGGTTGCCTCAAACCTTTCAGGCAAGGAGACAAGAATCTTCTGCACTAGCCTATTATCAGAGAGGTCAGTGCCTAGAACTCTTGCCTGATTTGCAATGCTTATCAACTTATCAGAATACTCCTTAATTGTCTCAGACTCCTTCATCTGTAGTCTCTCGAATTCTGTGATCAGATTTAAGCCCTTCATGCTTCTGATCCTCTCATCTCCTTGATACTCAGCTTTGAGGAAGTCCCAGATAGCTTTGGCTGATTCACAAGCCATAATTCTGCTGAAAATGGCAGGTGAGACAGCAGCATATAAACAAGACTTTGCCTTGCTTTCCTTGTTGTCCTCTCCTTGTGATACTTGATTTGATTAATGGTTGGATTGTCAGGAAGGGGAACAACTTCATAATCTTGTTCCACAGCTTCCCAAAAATCACAACCCTCTAGATAGGCTCGCATTCTCACTGCCCAGGCTTGATAATTTTCTCCATCAAACACTGGTGGAGCCATTGCTGAAAAACCACTCGATCCTGCCTCCATCTTGCCTTCGGCTTCTATGGATGCAGACACACCTCTCAATCAATCTCACAAGTCACTCACAGCCCCTTAAGATCAAGAAGGCTCTGATACCAATGTTGTTTTTTTAAAGAACAGAAGGAGAATTGACAGCAAAATCTGTATTTTGCGGCAAGAAGATTAATGTATTGGAAGGGAACTTCTATATCTATTCGTAAAACTGAAATTGCTTAAATACGTACTAAAGCTTTTCCACTAACTACACGTTGCCCACTAACTACACTTTGCCCACTAACTAACAACTTGCTTGGTCCACAAAACCAGCAACAAACTAACAGAGCAATTAAAGAAAACATGCAGCTAAACACTCCTATAAAATAGGACTGACCAAGTAAAACCACAACTAATTAACTCCTAGATAATAGGACATCAGCAAACTTACTAAATAGAAAATAGATAGTGCAGCCTTGATACAACAACAGTCATAATCTTAGTTCTCTCTTAATGCTTACTGCTTTAGTTGATCATACAAGGTATGGAAGTTGGATGTCCATCTTGCAGGCTGTTTTCATGTGGAACCAGTAAAGAGGGTGATTCCCATTTAGTTGAGTGGAATGAGATCGAGGGTGCTATCAAGAGGGCACAACAAGGAATCGTTTCCAAGCTGCTGGAGATGAATTTCAAATTAAATTCTGGGATATGGAGAATGCCAGCATGTTGACGGGCTGCTGATGCAGATGGCGGGTTTCCTGTTAGCTTTTTTCTCCTTTTATATAGATGTGCAAATTGGTACTATAGCTAGAATTGGGATTTTAGTTCCTTTTTTCATTGCAGGCTAGCCCAAGACTTAGGTTTAATAAGGAGGGTTCTTTGTTAGCTGTCACAACAAGTGATAATGGCATCAAAGTTTTGACTAATACAGATGGTATGTGCTTGGTAAGGATGCTCGAGAGCAGGGCTTTTGAGAAAAATCGAGCCCCTCCTGATAATTCTAAGGTAGCTTTAATGGTTATGTGCTAATCTATAAAATCATTTAGCCAATCTATTTTTTGCATGTGTTTCAATTAATTCTGGTTTAATGGTTATGTGCTATCATAAAATTGTTTCTTTGGATAACTTTTTATGTGCCTTTTCTCAATAAATTATTTATTCCTTTGTACAGGGGCCATCAAATTCTTTTCAACATTCCAGGATGAAAGAATCGAACGATTTTGAAGGCATAGACAATGCACGGTCACACCATAATTCGTCGGGAGGCAGAAGATAGCAGCATGGTGGTTGTTTTTAATGCTTGTTAGAACTCTTTTGTCTTCTGTTCTGTTTGGGAAGCTTGATTGTGGAATGGTAATGAAGAAGGTGTATATATTTCTGTCGAGCAGTTCGTTGCGTATATAGGATGATGTGTTAAGAAGTCCTAATTTGACGAAAATAGGTGGTTTTGGTGTGTAAGCGTGTACTTCTAGTCTACTGTTTCAGAGGGGGCTTCTCTGTCAGACATAAGACAGTGAAAATTGAATGTTTGCTTCTCTGTGCTGTTTGGGAAGCTTAATTGTTGAGCAAGTGTACTCTTTTTTTGCATTAATACACAACAGATTGTTTGGGGTGTTCGTCCGCAAGTTTGGAAGTTGAAATGACAGTTGGTATAGGAGTTGCTGATTGGCTGTTAATTTTTATCTGAAGTAGTTTGGCGGCTGGATTTGGAGATATAGTGACAGGAGGAGGTAAAGAGAGATTCATGTTGAGCAATTTTTAAGCTTTCATACGATGAAGAGAGAGAGAGAGAGTGAGAGGTCTGAAGGTGCAAAGTCACTAATTGAGAAGAGGGAAGGTGTTGAAATTTTTTTCCTCAAAAGATTAGTTTGAAAGCCGCGGCAGTGTGTACCAGATTCTCCTCTGCCTGGCGTGCATTCACAGGATTGGTAGGTCGAGATCGGTCGCTTTTACTTGTAAGTTGTAACTAAATATACAAACAGGGCAAACCATTGACTAAATTAAAGAAAAACAGGATTAGAAAAACTGAGGGAGCACTCTTTTAGTCAATTCGTAAACTACACGGAAATGGGAACAAAGATGAAAAGGGATTAAGGCCACAAAAGTACCAGGACAAACCATTCATCACTCTTTTCGATACGCCGCTTCATTGACGACAATTTCATGGAAATGAATGTTAAAAGCATTTAACGAGAGAGAGAAAGAGAGGGGGGAATAGCTGAGCCTTTGATTTAAGCTATCAAAATTACAAGTTCCAACCATCTATTCTTTCTTGACAAGTAGTCCTAATAAAAGATCAAATAATACAGAAACAAGTAAGACATCTGACTGCTGCACATTATGCCTCAATCCCTGTATCCTCTCATCAGTGTTCTTCAGTTCATCTTGCTTGGCCTTCACGAGCACGAAGGTCACGATGGCGGGGCTCCTGGAGGAAAAGATGCCAATGGGGCTCTCCGGAGGCCGAGGCTAGCGCCTTCTGCAAATCAAGACATCTTCGATAAAAAAGGAAAATAAAAGTAAAATTAGTACGTGTAAGTGAAAAAACAACGTGCTGACCTCGCAAGTACAAAACGGTATACTCAGACCAGTGAATTAAAACCTAGGATGGCATTAAGAACCCATCTCAAATAACAATGGCTTTAGAAAGAATGAGTAGTTCATGTTCAGCCTATTCTAGCATATCATAAGAGTATAATGGGATCTGCTGAAACCGTGATTTCGCATTTGTTGTTACAAACTGTGGTTGGGACAAAGCATACTAACTGTGAAACTTATGCAAGGGAGAAACCTTTGCAGCACTCATGACAGGCTGTGCATCAATGCCTGAGCTCTGCATTGCTTCTTGGGCTTTCTTTGAAGCCTCGAAAAGAGCTGGGGAGTTCTCCAGCTTTCTGCAACAACGAAGCCGCAACATCTACACCCGGTTTCAGAGCATCTGCAACAATTTGGAAAATACTCTGTGCAGTGTTTAAAAATCCCGAGCTCACTTCCTGAACGTGGTCAATCGTCTTCTCAACCTGCCAATTAAAATTTCAGAAGCAACTTCAAGATACCAATAACATGGCTTTCACCATTGAAATAATCTTTGCGACTCTTTACTAAAAAAAAAAAATGCAGGAACTTTTACCTCCGTGATAGAAGAGAAAATCTGGTCTTTGGGGAGGCTGACAGCTCCAGCTTCATAAGGAGGCGAGAAGAGAGCAACGGAGCAGAGAGCGGCGAGCGCCGGATTTTTTCGAACAAGCGCCGGAGCAAGGACGGAGTGAGCGTCGAAGCAGGGGCGACCTTAACGTGCTTCATCCTGTGGTTCAGAACCAATAACAGTTGGGTGTAACAATATTTCTGCCCCTTGCAAAACCGGGAGGATCATAGTCCACTCTAGATCCCAGGCAATCATACAGCCAAGCTTTTATCTTACCATCAATGGCAGTGGAGAAAATAAACTGCAATAATGAAAAAGTGAGTTATATAGTCGACTCTGGGAAACTGCTATCAAAATAAATTTACCAGCTGCACATCTAATTCGGAAAAACTGGTAATATAGTCTGCTTGAAATGATAAGAGTATAAGCCAAGAAAGTAGAAAGCGGCAAACTGCTCTCAAAGCAGATGAACCTGAATATTTTCCTTGTAATGTGGGCAGACTGAATACACTGGAGCTTCATCGGAGCAGCGGCGGCCTTAACGTGCTTCGTCGGCGATGGTGGGGGAACAGCCGCTTGACAAACGCTGGAGCAGCGAGCGAGCGAGCGAGCGTCGGATCGCGAGAAAGGGAGACCTTTGCTTCGTCGGAGCAGGGGTGGCCTTAATGTGCATCGTCGGCGAGGGCGGAGGAACGACCGCTTGACGAACGCCGGAGCTGAGAGCGAAGACGAGGAAGACCTTTGCTTCGTCGGAGCAGGGTTGGCTTTAATGTGCTTCGTCGGCGAGGGCGGAGGAACGAGAGCTTGACGAACGCCGGAGCTGAGAGCGAAGACGAGGAAGACCTTTGCTTCGTCGGAGCAGGGTTGGCTTTAATGTGCTTCGTCGGCGAGGGCGGAGGAACGAGAGCTTGACGAACGCCGGAGCTGAGAGCGAAGACAAGGGAGACCTTTGCTTCGTTGGAGCAGGGGTGGCCTTAATGTGTTTCGTCGGCGACGGCTGGGGACGGCCGCTTGACGAACGCCGGAGCAGCAAGAAACGGCGGACCAGCGAAATCTCAGCGCGAAAAATTCAAAATTTGTGTGCAGGGCAGAGAGAGGGGGAGACACCTGTTTGCTTTTCTTCTCCTCCTTCGGATGAGGAAACGAAAGGACGGATAGGACTTAGGAGAGAGAATATGAGAAAAAAGCAGAGCATCGGCTAATGTGCAGGCTAGATAAGAGGATGAAAATTACTTTTTTGTGATGGAAATAGAGAGCTGGAGAGCCGGTCCCACAGATCCACGTGGAGCCACGTGAAGCTTCATGAGTGATTCGAGACCACGCTGACTTGGCAGTCCGGATCACCTAATATTTTCTCAACGAAAGGACGGAGAGGACATAAGAGAGAGAATATGAGAAAAAAGCAAAGCATTGGCTAGTGTGCAGGCTAGGTGAGAGGATGGAAATTACTTTTTTGTGGAGAAAATCGAGGGCTGGCGAGTCGGCCCCACAGATCCACATGGAGCCACGTGGCGCTTCATGAGTGGTCCGGGACCACGCTGACTTGGCGGTCCGGGACCACCTAATATTTTCTCGACGAAAGGACGGATAGGACTTAGGAGAGAGAATATGAGAAAAAAGCAGAGCATCGGCTAGTGTGCAGGCTCGGTGAGAGGATAGAAATTACTTTTTTGTGGAGAAAATCAAGGGCTGGCGAGTCAGCCCCACAGATCCACATGGAGCCACGTAGCGCTTCATGAGTGGTCCGGGACCACGCTGACTTGGCGGTCCGAGACCACCTAATATTTTCTCCGATAGGCGAAGGGGGAGCAGAGAACATCGCTACTGTCCAGGATGCAGCTGATTTGATAGAGAAAGTGAAGGCAGGCTCAGCTTAAGCCAATAATGCGTCAATTTCCGTCAACAAGGTCTCTTTGTGATTGATTTATCTCTTGTTTCCCCAATTAATTAAATTCATTCTTTAGAATTTACTCATCGAAAATTAATGTTAAGCGTTAAAATTCAAAAAAATAATAATAATCTTGTGCACGTGCCAATACCGTGCTTTCCACGTTAACATATCGTATCGTGCAATGGTTTACTGAACTTTAAGGGAGGAAATAGTTATTAGTAGAGAGAAAAATAAAAATATTTCGCTCCACTAATAACTATTCCCACCATTAATAACTATTCACTATTATTTTAAAAAAAATAATGTCCATAAATCCACACTCGAGATAAAGAAAAAAAAATTCACTTGTATCTACCTTTTGTCAAAACAATTAAAGGCAGTTTGTATTTCCAAGAAGTAATGTATAAAATCCCGTTTCTTCCACATTTATGGACATATGTTGTTCATAAGTCCGGTTTGTGTAGTATTGTTCATATGTTTTTCTTTTTATAGGTCAAAAAGGTGTGTTGATATTTGATGATGTAAATGTTTACCTACGAATTAAGCTTAAGTGGGTTTGAAGGGGAGATTTTTTTGTTTAATTGAGGTTGAAAAAGTGTTGGGTGGGGGTTGAGCTGGACATGCAAAGCGTAGGAGACTCTGCTTAGATGTTTTTCATGAGAGAAAGAAGAGGACGGTGGCTGGGGCGGCGGTGATGGTGGTGGTGATGAACCTGGACAGCAATAAAGTTTGGAGCTTTGCAGTATTTGATTTGGATTTGGATTACGATTTACTGCTTTTGATTTCACTTACTACGTTAATTATGATCGTACTCTCTCCATTTTTATTATTTACCGTATTTTGTTGTCGTTGTTGCTTAATATACGCCATGTCTAGATGTGTTAAATAATACCTCCTCAAGGTTTGGGTTTGGGTGATGTTGTTCATATGTTTTTTTCTTTTTATGGGTCAAAATGGTGTGTTGATGGTTGATGATGTCAATATTTACCTACGAATTAAGCGTAAGTGGGTTTGAATGGGGGATTTTTTTTGCTTAATTGGGGTTGAAAGAGTGTTGAGTGAGGGTTGAGCTGGATATAAAAAGTGTAGAAGACAAAGTCTTTCTGCTTAGAGGCTTTTTATGCGATAAAGAGGAAGGTGGTGGTGGCGCGATGGTGGTGATAGTGGTGATGATGAACCTAGACAGCCATAAGATTTGGAGCTTTGCAGTCATTGATTTGGATTTGAATTACGATTTACTGCTTTTGATTTCACTTACTATGTTAATTATGACCTTGCTCTCTCCGTCTTTATTATTTACTGTATCTTGTTGTCGTTATTGCTTGATATCCTTCATGTCTAGATGTAGTCTCTTTTGCCTTCGTCATTTGAGAGGTCTCTTCAGACATGTTCTTGTTTTTAACTCTCTGTTGGAAAAATGCACTATTGAAAATGATCTCCTGGTGTATTTCAGAAGCGTGCTTTGATTTGAGCACAAGATCACCTGTTCATGTAGTTCTACAAGGTTGGATTATGGTAACTATAGATGAGAATTTAAGAAATTTTTCGATGGAGTATATTAGTTGGATATTGGTGAAATAAATGAACCTAAAGGCAGTGGCATTGTCTTGCTTGTAATGGAGATCCATATTGAGGCATGCAAAAGCAATTCAAGCAAAAAGGATTAAGCTTTATGGGCAGCTAGCAAAACTCTTGAATGAGAAGTTGAAGAGTAGAGGCATTTCGGTGATCCCTGCTAGCAAAGTAAATTCATTTTTTAGAATTTACTCCTCGAAAGTTAATGTTAACCTTTAATATTAAAAAAAATGAAAAATCTTATGCACGTGTCAGCACCGCGCTTCCCACGTGCACGTATCGTACCATGCAATGGTTTACGGAACTTTAAGGGAGGAAATAGTTATTAGTAGAGGGAAAAAGAAAACTACTAATAACTATTCCCTCCACTAATAACTATTCAATGTTATTCATTGTTATTCACGAAAAAAATAATAATGTCCATAAATTCACACTCGAGACAAAGAAAAAAATTCACTTGTCTTTACCCTTTTGTCAAAAGAATTAAAGGCAGTTTGTATTTTCAAGAAGTAATGCACAAAATCTCGTTTCTTCCACATTTGTCGAAAAGCTTGCTATTAAAATGTGCATTATTATTGTTATTTAACATTATTCCCTTCCCCATTCTCTTCCCACTACTCTCCCTCCCTCTAACTCCTTGTCCTCCTCCATTCTCTCAATTACTCAACTCTCTCTAAAACACTCCCAAAATGAAAAAAAAGGATTTAATGCGAGAGAATAAGTTCTACAAATGATATTAATTTGGGTCGTCGGTTGCTGTATGTTCCATAAACATCAAAGAAGGAAGCAACGTGAGTCTCCCCTCTTTTCCCTTTTTTGCTAATGCTTGATCATTTAAATCAATTTCATCAAACAAATTTAAAAGATCTATCTAGATTCTAATATAAAAAATCACCCACCACATGTATCTAAAGAGCTAAGAAAAAATTAAGAAATTTTTCAGTGGAGTAGACCAGTTGATTGGTGAAATAAATGAAGTTAAAAGGCAGTGGTGCTGTCCTACTTGTGCTGGAGGTCATATCACATGCAAAAACAATTCAAGCGAAAAGGATTAAACTTTTCGTTTTGAGCTAGTATTACGCAAATTGATTCCTCAATGTCACCAAGTCAGATGAAGAAGCCACGAGATGAATGGAAAGAAAAGGAGGTAAGAGAAGAGATACTTGATGCTTGGAAGCATGGGAGGAAACGGAAGGTCTCATTTGGTGTCCAGTTAGTTCCCTAGCCGATAAACCCAGGGGCTTTTTTTTTATTTTTTATCTGGTATCTTATTACTTCTCTAGCCCTTGTTCGGAGCGTCAACTTAGGGTCTCGGATTAGGGTAATTAACTGCGGATTGTTTACCCGCAACACTCAAATTAGTTACCATGGTAACATATGGTCGGTTTGTGCATATTCCTAGTAGTAGTAACGGAGCAGGAAATTCGAATGTGGTGAGACGACATCAAAATTGTACCAAACTTTTGAAAAGTTGATTGATCAAGTTAGGGCATTATATTAGTTGTCCCTGCTTAAGAAAGTGGGAGCAAAGAGGAAATTAATAATAGCTTGCAATCACCATCATGCCTTGGCAAACATCGAAGTACATTATTATTATTATTATTATTATTATTATTATCATTAACGTTAATAAAGCATCTCCGGGGCAATGTTTTCTTAGCTGTCTCTTTTTTGTCCATAGAAAAAAGCAAGAAAAGTCTCTGTGGGGACACGATAATCCTCCCACAACCATGGATCAATGGTATAACTTTCTTATGGTAAAAGTACACTACAAGTGCCATAACTTGTGTACGGCGTTCACTTTAGTGCCATAACTTTTTTTGGATCACTTTAGTGCTAAAATTTTTGAAAAACGATCACTTAAGTGCTAAAATTTTTGAAAAACGATCACTTAAGTGCCAACTCCGTGCCGTACACAATTTTTCGCCGGAAATCGACGTGGCATTTTTTTATTAATTTCTGAAGCCGACGTGGCTCGCCGGAGTCTCGCCGGAGATTGGCACTTAAGTGATCGTTTTTCAAAAATTTTAACACTTAAATGATCGTTTTTCAAAAATTTTAGCACTTAAGTGATCTTTTTCAAAAAATTTTAGCACTGAAGTGATCCAAAAAAAAGTTATGACACTTAAGTGATCGTTTTTCCTCCGACTTGGCACCAAAGTGATCCGAAAAAAAGTTATGGCACCAAAGTAAGCGCCGTACACAAGTTATGGCACTTATAGTGTCCTTTTGCCACTTTCTTATGGTATTTTGTCAAAACTTTTCGTCACATCGCTTCGGTTCTACTTTTGCTAAAAAAACATCACTTAACCAGTGCTGAAGGAAGGCATTGCTATCCAAGCTATTGGTCACGTCTAAATACGCCTCTGTTTTGCGTGCTCTTTCCGACTTTTTTTTATGGACGGATCATTGTTGGAAGTCATTTGCAAAGAGACTCGCAATTTTAAAATATTCTTGTTCCTCCATTCTTTTGGTTGTGGGGCTGATTTTGAGACAAGACAATCCCTAAATTGTTCGCAGCCCGTCTCATTAATTCGCTTATCGAGTGATCTGGTAATAATGAGATTGCATTATCTTTCACAAGATCACAAATTCAAGCCTTGCCGAATTGAATCCCTGATTGGCTTGTGCCTCGAGCATCTTTTTACCTCTTATGAAGAGACTTCCTGACTTTTGGCAAGTCGACGAGACCCCGGTGAAGAGCTTACTTTTACGGATGAATTGAATAATTATGATTTAAACCAAGCGTTTCGTGATAGATATAATAGGTAATTATGCTAGTGGCACCTTTCCACTATTCAAACCAACGAAAATAGTTTCTCTAAATATTTTTCTATTCGGGTGGGTCCGAGTATACGTACAATTTCACTCCAAGACACCGGAAGATTTCCAGGCTTTTTCTAACCGGTCTCGATCTAGTTGGCCAACTAGTCGCATCAAAGCTTGCAAAAAGCACTACAAATAATGTCGATGGACCAACCTATCCTTGACTTTCTCAACTTAGACAATGAAGACTTCCTTCCTCTGGAAATTTAATCAAAGCAATCATCAATTCTTACAATGAAGTAGGGTCACCGATAAATAAAAATTAAACAAGAATCGGATAAGTTAATTATTAAATCTTAGTCTCGTCAAGAATCTCATTCCCAATAATGTGGGGGGTTTTATCCTCTTCGTGCTCGAGTCGGGAGTATCTTGATTTTATCTTCCGGATCAAATGAGGGGCCAGGTAAATTGAGTTGGAGAACTACGTGAGATCATCGCGACATTTATAAGCCTGTCGACGTCCTAGAATACTTTCGATCGGATCCCTTTTACTTCTTTTCTACTCGAGGATTGCCACACGATTCAAGACGGTTCCTGCTAGTAAGATCGAGAGCCCCCGAAACAGAAATCACGGAATCCCGTTCGAATCGGACGGCTCGACGGCATGGATCAATTCACATGTTACGCGCATGGAACTTTTTCACATCAGATCCTTTGTGTTTCCCATTGAGTTATGAACAATTACGCAATGAAACGCTTTTGATTTACTCTCTCCTCCCTCCGAGGTGGGTGTGGGTCCGAGTCAGCTCGTATATCTCCTCCGGGGTGAGGTGACGTGGACATCCAGATCAATCAATCTTATCTTATCGACTGGCTGACGTGTGACTGGCCATTCAAAGTGACGGTGGTGGGGCCCCCCATCACGAGTTCTACGTTTGGCCCCCCGTTGACCAGGTCAAGCGCAGGGCTTGTTTACCCGGCTCGGCTTCGTCATCTTCGCCCCCTCTCGGCTTCACTGAATGGGACTTTATAAATTAATGGAGGTTAGATAGTGGAAAAGATCCTTTCCAAATTTTATATACATGCTATTTCAGTACCATCCATATTATATTTACCACACCAATATAAATTCGGAATTTTTCACGAAACAAAAAAGAAGTTTTGGGATATTGGTGTCGCAATGGGTAAGTTTAGGGTTTTTAGCGACGAAAAAAAAGTTCAGAGTATTTATGTCACGGTAGATATAATTTGGAGTTTTTTTGTGTGTTGTTTAACCCTAAAATTAAATCCGACGAATATAGATAATGGATAGATTTTGTTCTGACATCACTGAATTTTCTCCATTTTTGGCTATATTCTATATACATGCACTCCCCCAAAAAAATTGGATGGCTCATGAACGAGCCATGTTAGCCGGAGCCGTCAACCCACGCCGAGCCATCAACGTTAATCTCTCGCTCTCTCTCTCTCTCTCTCTCTCTTCCTCTCCATGGCTGGGTGGTCGTGTCTATAAGAACCCTACACCACCATTTCAGCAAAAAGATTTCTCTCTTCTCATCGACACACAAAGATCTTCCTTTATCTTCGCTTTTGTTTCTTTTAAAGTTTCTTCGCCCCTTTATCTCTTCGTAACAGTCGCATCAGGTCTAAGAAGGCAAAGGAAACATCCATAACACATCCAGGGCCTCCTTCGGTTGTTACGCGTAGAGATCACTTGCATATAAAACATTAGGGTCGATCCGAGACTATCACCACGTCGGACCAAGAACGGAAAGATGGGTTTCCTTCACAAGCTCTGGGACGAAACGCTGGCCGGACCCGCCCCCGAGTCGGGCCTCGGGCAGCTCCGCAAGTACCACTCGTTCTCGGCCGCGCGGTCCTCTGCTGCTCGCGCCTCTCCTCCTCCCGACTTGCCGGCGGTCACCCGCAGCATCACCATCGTCAGGACCGCCCCGGCTCTCCGGTCCATCCCCGGGGATCCGGGGTCGGGCCCGAGCACCCCCGGCACTCCTTCGACGCGTACGTCCACCGAACCTAGTACATGTCTGTACGTATATCACGTGTTCATTGTTTTAGCAGTTGTTGAGTCCGTATTGGTTTGCATGCAGCTGGGACACCGGATGGGAAGCTGAAGAGATTCACGAAGAGAAAACCACCAACCGATGGATCGGACGGCGCTCAACCTAGAGGTCCGACTGATTATGATTGGTAAAAGATAAATCTCTCTCTGTGTTTTTTTTTTTTGGTAATGTGTTATTTCACTTTGGTGCGACATCATTTTTATGTGAACATCACACGACATTCAACCCTGTTAGAGTTGGTGATAGATCAAACCACCTACCTTTCTCTCGCCATCTGCAAAGATCTTTCATCAAGTTCTGTCTTTAGGTCAGGACAGAGAAACTGATGATATATTTTGCTCACCTCAGAACAAGGAAATCTGTTCCGACAATCAATCAACTTTTGAATCACTGTCTGAGAGTATATTTGACTGATCTTCGTGGGGTTTATGTTTTGCAGGGTTGTGATTAGTGCTTTGGATCGCTAGACGGAGAAACTGATGATATATTTTGATCGATCGGCGATTTTACCTCTCCCCATACGTAGAGGAATCAGTCTTTTTCTCTATAAGATATCGGTAAACGTATGTGTATATATATGTATATATAACTATCGTAATAATAAGATTGTTCATATAAAGAATGGTCAGGACACAGAGAAGGGTCCAAGTCCTTCTTGGAGTTTCCACAAGAGAGAGAGAAGAAGAACTAGGAGGCCTTAAACCCTATAAAACTCGGCCTCTGCATAATAACCTTCAAGAGTTTTGGGAACTTTGGGCATTTTTCTCCAGTTGGTTTTTCTTCCCCTGGTGTTCATGTACATAATGATATTTGTTGTGCTTTTTATATTTGGTTTTTTTTTTTTATCTTTTTTGTAAATATGTAATTATTTATATAATATGGGAAGCTCCTCTTTCATTGAAACTAGATCATATCCACCCAAACGTACTTGAAGCTGCATCGTCTTACGATATCGTGTATTCGATTCGATCAATGGAGATCTATTTGGGGAAGAAAATGACGACATTTTGATAATGACTCGAACCGCATAAAAAACATCTCCGCGGAAACTGGGGAAACAAGAGATAAATCAATCACAAAGAGACCTTGTTGACGGAAATCGACGCATTATTGGCTTAAGCTGAGCCTGCCTTCACTTTCTCTATCAAATCAGCTTGCATCCTGGACAGTAGCGATGTTCTCTGCTCCCCCTTCGCCTATCGGAGAAAATATTAGGTGGTCCTGGGCTGCCAAGTCAGCGTGGTCCCAGACCACTCATGAAGTGCCATGTGGCTCCACATGGATATGTGGGGTCGGCTCGCCAGTCCTCGATTTTCTTCATAAAAAAGTAGTTTCCATCCTCTCACCTAGCCCGCACACTAGCCAATGCTCTGCTTTTTTCTCGTATTCTCTCTCCTAAGTCCTATTCGTCCTTTCGTCGAGAAAATATTCAGGTTCATCTGCTTTGAGAGCAGTTTGCCGCTTTCTATATGAGAGTATGAGAAAAAAGCAGAGCATCGACTAGTGTGCAGGCTAGGTGAGAGGATGGGAATTACTTTTTTGTGGAGAAAATCGAGGGCTGGCGAGCCGGCCCCACAGATCCACATGGAGCCACGTGGTGCTTCATGAGTGGTCCGGGACCACGCTGACTTGGCGGTTTGGGACCACCTAATATTTTCTCATCTGCCTATTGAAACTCCGAACGTCTCTTCCAAAGCCATAATGATCTCCACCTGTTTCTATGTACCCGCTGAATTGCAAATATCACGAAAAGAGTCGTGGAATAGTCGATTGCATTGATAGTTTTGATATATGTACAACGTCGTTGCCAAGCATGGTTGGAACCTATGCAGAAATGATCCATACAAGTGATTACAAGACGATGCGTACCGTGTCGAGAGAATCGGCGCCCAAATCGATGAACTTGGTCCCTGGAGCGACAGTGCTTTCATCGACAGAGAGCTGCTTGGCTATGATGCCTTGGACTGTTTTCAGAGTCTCCGGCTCAGCCTAAACATAAACGAGAATGTTAAAACAAGTGAACTGGAAATAAATATTCTGTTGCTCGCTAAGTCAACGAATCACTTCACACGAGCTACTGGAAAAAGGAAATTACGACGGAGCACGATATTTGATTCCCGGAGCGACTCAGAATCGGGCCGAACCCTCTTCCTGCCTCCACGATCGCGATCTTCGGCACGAATCTAATCTTTCCGCTCTGCATAGGGGGATGAAATGGCAATTCATTACCAATCTTTGACTCAACGAGAGAACTAACAAAGACGGCAATGGAACTGGCTCATACAATGGCTGACAGGCTTCCTAATTTCTGAGCACTGCCCCTTGCCCTGGGAACAGATTGAAGAGTTGGCAACTGGGGAGTTGATAGAGAAGCAGAAGCCATGATGGTGTCACTGATCGACTCTTAATACTGTTGATTAGCCACCCAATTTCTCTTGATGAAGAGCTCAAAATGTTAATCGAAGGTTCAAGCTTATATACAGAGGGTTTCTGCTTGTGAATCTCTCCGCTCCCAGGAAGAAGAAGGAGATGCATGGGATGACGACAAAGACGAAGAGAACGTCGTTCCTGTTTGGCAAATCGATTGGGGCGGACCATACCTTGATCGGGGTGTCTCTATGTGCTTGTGATGCGTACATTGGACTTGGCCGAATAGAATGTTTCTATACCACCAAGGGCAGACCCATCTCCAATTTCAAGAAAGAAGAAAAAATTTAGGGCTAAAAGCATTTTATAAACTGAATTAATTACTCTTGAAGAAATAATGAGAATCATATTGGATTCCATTTTAAAGAATATGGAGCCCTTTTCTCTTTTTTTAAAGAATGGATTGATTGGATTGTGGGGCCGGATGAAAAATGAGCCGTGAACGGCGTGAAGTCTAACTTTAGTGATTTGATTAATTACATGAGAAGCACAATTAGTTATATGAAATTAAATTGCGACGAATGACTACGTATGAATAGTTTATCTCGATGACGAATAAGTGTATTTTCTAACGTAAAAAGTGGTTATTCCTATGAAAAGAAAAAATAAAAAGAGTGTTTTTTGCTAAGGCAAATTACCAAAAGAAGTCATAAACTTATTGTACAGATATCAATTCAGTTCTAAACCTTTTGATTTAATCAATTTAGTCATAAACCCTTTTGACAATTTGTCAATGTAGTCATTTTGACCAAATTTTGGCCAATACCATAAAAGTAAGCTCTTCACCAGGGTCTCGTCGACTTGCCAAAAGTCATGAAGTCTCTTCATAAAAGGTAAAAAGATGCTCGAGGCACAAGCCAACTAAAGATTCGATTCGGCAAGGCTTGAATTCGTGATCTTGTGAAAGATAATGCAATCTCATTGTTACCAGATCGCTCGATAAGCGAATTAATGAGACGGGCTTGCGAACAATTTAGGGATTGTCTTGTCTCAAAATCAGCCCCACAACCAAAAGAATGGAGGAACAAGAATATTTTAAAATTGCGAGTCTCTTTGCAAATGACTTCCAACAATGATCCGTCCATAAAAAAAAGTCGGAAAGAGCACGCAAAACAGAGGCGTATTTAGACGTGACCAATAGCTTGGATAGCAATGCCTTCCTTCAGCACTGGTTAAGTGATGTTTTTTTAGCAAAAGTAGAACCGAAGCGATGTGACGAAAAGTTTTGATAAAATACCATACGAAAGTTATACCATTGATCCATGGTTGTGGGACGATTATCGTGTCCCCACAGAGACTTTTCTTGCTTTTTTCTATGGACAAAAAAGACTCAGCTAAGAAAACATTGCCCCGGAGATGCTTTATTAACGTTAATAATAATAATAATAATAATGTACTTCAATGTTTGCCAAGGCATGATGGTGATTGCAAGCTATTATTAATTTCCTCTTTGCTCCCACTTTCTTAAGCAGGGACAACTAATATAATGCCCTAACTTGATCAACCAACTTTTCAAAAGTTTGGTACAATTTTGATGTCGTCTCACCACATTCGAATTTCCTGCTCCGTTACTACTACTAGGAATATGCACAAACCGACCATATGTTACCATGGTAACTAATTTGAGTGTTGCGGGTAAACAATCCGCAGTTAATTACCCTAATCCGAGACCCTAAGTTGACGCTCCGAACAAGGGCTAGAGAAGTAATAAGATACCAGATAAAAAATAAAAAAAAAGCCCCTGGGTTTATTGGCTAGGGAACTAATTGGACACCAAATGAGACCTTCCGTTTCCTCCCATGCTTCCAAGCATCAAGTATCTCTTCTCTTACCTCCTTTTCTTTCCATTCATCTCGTGGCTTCTTCATCTGACTTGGTGACATTGAGGAATCAATTTGTGTAATACGAGCTCAAAACGAAAAGTTTAATCCTTTTCGCTTGAATTGTTTTTGCATGTGTTATCAAAGGCTGCAAACCTTGATATGACCTCCAGCACAAGTAGGACAGCACCATTGCCTTTTAACTTCATTTATTTCACCAATCAACTGGTCTACTCCACTGAAAAATTTCTTAATTTTTTCTTAGCTCTTTAGATACATGTGGTGGGTGATTTTTTATATTAGAATCTAGATAGATCTTTTAAATTTGTTTGATGAAATTGATTTAAATGATCAAGCATTAGCAAAAAAGGGAAAAGAGGGGAGACTCACGTTGCTTCCTTCTTTGATGTTTATGGAACATACAGCAACCGACGACCCAAATTAATATCATTTGTAGAACTTATTCTCTCGCATTAAATACTTTTTTTCATTTTGGGAGTGTTTTAGAGAGAGTTGAGTAATTGAGAGAATGGAGGAGGACAAGGAGTTAGAGGGAGGGAGAGTAGTGGGAAGAGAATGGGGAAGGGAATAATGTTAAATAACAATAATAATGCACATTTTAATAGCAAGCTTTTCGATAAATGTGGAAGAAACGAGATTTTGTGCATTACTTCTTGAAAATACAAACTGCCTTTAATTCTTTTAACAAAAGGGTAAAGACAAGTGAATTTTTTTCTGTCTCGAGTGTGAATTTATGGACATTATTATTTTTTTCGTCAATAACAATGAATAACATTGAATAGTTATTAGTGGAGGGAATAGTTATTAGTAGTTTTCTTTTTCCCTCTACTAATAACTATTTCCTCCCTTAAAGTTCCGTAAACCATTGCATGGTACGATATGTGCACGTGGGAAGCGCGGTGCTGACACGTGCATAAGATTTTTCATATTTTTTTTAATTTTAAAGGTTAACATTAACTTTCGAGGAGTAAATTCTAAAAAATGAATTTACTTTGCTAGCAGGGATCACCGAAATGCCTCTACTCTTCAACTTCTCATTCAAGAGTTTTGCTAGCTGCCTATAAAGCTTAATCCTTTTTGCTTGAATTGCTTTTGCATGCCTCAATATGGATCTCCATTACAAGCAGGACAGTGCCACTGCCTTTTAGGTTCATTTATTTCACCAACATCCAACTAATATACTCTATCGAAAAATTTCTTAAATTCTCATTTATAGTTACCATAATCCAACCTTGTAGAACTACATGAACAGGTGATCTTGTGTTCAAATCAAAGCACGCTTCTGAAATACACCAGGAGATCATTTTCAATAGTGCATTTTTCCAACAGAGAGTTAAAAGCAAGAATATGTCTGAAGAGACCTCTCAAATGACGAGGGCAAAAGAGACTACATCTAGACATGAAGGATATCAAGCAATAACGACAACAAGATAGAGTAAATAATAAAGACGGAGAGAGCACGGTCATAATTAACATAGTAAGTGAAATCAAAAGCAGTAAATCGTAATTCAAATCCAAATCAATGACTGTAAAGGTCCAAACCTTATGGCTGTCTAGGTTCATCACCACCACTATCACCACCACCGCGTCACCACCACCTTCTTCTTTATCGCATAAAAAGCCTCTAAACAGAAAGACTTTGTCTTCTACACTTTCCATATCCAGCTCAACCCTCACTCAACACTCTTTCAACCCCAATTAAGCAAAAAAAATCCCCCATTCAAACCCACTTACGCTTAATTCGTAGGTAAATATTGACATCATCAACCATCAACACACCATTTTGACCCATAAAAAGAAAAAAAACATATGAACAACATCACCCAAACTCAAACCTTGAGGAGGTATTATTTAACACATCTAGACATGGCATATATTAAGCAACAACGACAACAAGATACGGTAAATAATAAAAATGGAGAGAGTACGATCATAATTAACGTAGTAAGTGAAATCAAAAGCAGTAAATCGTAATCCAAATCCAAATCAAAGACTGCAAAGCTCCAAACTTTATCGCTGTCCAGGTTCATCACCACCACCATCACCGCCGCCCCCGCCACCGTCCTCTTCTTTCTCTCATGAAAAACATCTAAACAGAGTCTCCTACGCTTTTCATGTCCAGCTCAACCCCCACCCAACACTTTTTCAACCTCAATTAAACAAAAAATCTCCATTTCAAACCCACTTAAGCTTAATTCGTAGGTAAACATTTACATCATCAAATATCAACACACCATTTTGACCTATAAAAAGAAAAACAATTGAACAATACTACACAAACCGGACTTATGAACAACATATGTCCATAAATGTGGAAGAAACGGGATTTTATACATTACTTCTTGGAAATACAAACTGCCTTTAATTGTTTTGACAAAAGGTAGATACAAGTGAATTTTTTTTTCTTTATCTTGAGTGTGGATTTATGGACATTATTTTTTTATTTGTAAATAACAGTGAATAGTTATTAATGGTGGGAATAGTTTTTAGTGGAGCGAAATGTTTTTCTTTTTCCCTCTACTAATAACTATTTCCTACCTTAAAGTTCAGTGAACCATTGCACGATACATACACGTGGGAAGCACGGTATTGGCACGTGCACGAGATTATTATTATTTTTTTGAATTTTAATTTTTAACATTAACTTTCAAGGAGTAAATTCTAAAGAATGAATTTACTTTGCTAGCAGGGATCACCGAAATGCCTCTCGTCTTCAACTTCTCATTCAAGAGTTTTGCCAGCTACCCATAAAGCTTAATCTTTTTTTCTTGGATTGCTTTTGCATGCCTCGATATGGATCTCCATCACAAGCAGGATAGTGGCACTGCCTTTCAGGTTCATTTATTTCACCAACAGTCAACAAATATACTCCATTGAAAAATTTCTTAAATTCTCATCTATAGTTATCATAATCCATTCTTGTAGAACTATATGAAAAGGACATCCCGTGCTCAAATCAAAGCGCTCTTCTGAAATACACAAGGAGGTCATTTTCAATAGTTCACTTTTGCAACAGAGAGTTAAAAGCAAGAAAATGTCTGAAGGAACCTCCCAAATGACGAGGGCAAAAGAGATTACATCTAGACATGGAGGATATCAATCAATAACGACAGCC